TGGGCAGCATAGCAGCATAGACCTCGTTCATCGCGCTGTAATCCGACATGTTGGCAAGGAAGACGGTGGTCTTCATAACGTAGTCCCACGATGTACCGGCTTCTTCGAGGATGACCGCGATGTTCTTGATAACTTGGGCCTGAGCTGAGTGAGTATGGCTACGTGATGAGTATATAATTGGCGCATTTACCGTTTGAGCTTCAATGCCGCCTGCTACAATGGATCCATTGAACGAAGGGACGGTTCCTGAGGTGTAGACTATGCCCTTTGATGTCCATGCACCGCTCGCTTGATAGTAATTAGCACGTAGTCATCAGACATCGGCTGGTAGCATACAAAGAATAGGCCCTTGGGTTCCCAGGTAGGTCACAACCGGCTGCTCAGCGAGCTTTGGTGTTGGCTTAGCGACTACAGCACCAGTAACGGCGAGAAAAGTAGTGACAATGGAGGTGAAAGAGACCATGATGAATTAATTACAGCGAATTAAGTTCTGCGAGGGTATGGACGTAGAGGCACGAGTGTGGTGATGTTAGTATTCCGATGTCGATGGCCCTATACAGTCTTATAAGAGTTGGCAATGCTCACGGATCATCATCTCCCGACTCTTTCGTGTTCGGTCAAGTCTGACCGCCCGCGTTGTACCGAATGCCATGGCTTCCAAGAGCTGCGAGTGTCCATGTACCAGGTAAAGCTCGTTGCCAATGTTACTCCGACATGCAGCCAGTATTGTTGGATTCCAGCCACGGCGGAGGATCCGCGATACAGTCAGACCCGTTTGTAATGGCTAACGGTCCGCCGCCGGCTCCAAGGTACCGGTATGTCCACCAGGAACTGTACTCCCTGCACTACACTCAGGTTGGCAGGGCCTCGCGCAACCGTTTCGGCGCCATCGTGGGGTTCAAAATCGCGTAGATATCCAGCACGCACTAGAAAAGGAAGGAGGATAGCACTTGTGGCGAGGTGGAGCAGAGGTCAGCTAAGCTATCGCGAGAAGGGCCGTCGAAGATGTAGTTCGCCTGGGCGCCGAGATATCTCTGCATTTGTATCCTGCGTTTAACGCGCACTGTGAAGCGCGCATTCGTCCTGACGTAACGTGAGATAAAGGCTGCAGGGTGTTGAGATAAGAGTCGGGGTTTAGGCCAGCCGTTGCGCGTTATCGCAATCGTGGCTCCACCTGGGGTATCCATGGCTTGCCGCTCATTTGCCGAGAGGATCCAGACCCCTGTCGGAATTATTGCTACCATGAAGGGACAAGCTTTCCCTGCGGAGTTTTGACATTGTTCCCGGACGAAGTTCTATGCCACGTTTTTGGCATATCTTGTGTCCGACTCATGCTGGTAGCTCAGCCCCACATGGACGCGTTCAGTGCGTTGTAGGGTCGCGCTGGACGAACATGCACATCATCGCACGCACCTCGCTTCTGTGTCACCTTCACAACGACGCAGTCGATAGGGTGTGTAGCCTTCATCTTGAGGTATGTTCTGTGAGACTAGTGTCCTTCGTTCTTGTTCGAACGACCTGGCGGTCCATGATGTCTGGCGTCGAGGGGGACCGCATTGGATGGTTCAAGGTAGCATCGTGAAGTTGCATACGCAGCGCTGGTATCAAAGCCGAGATCGCTCGGAATGACGGTCGTAGCTAAGCCGAGACTCCTGTCTTATCCGATGTGGGTTATCTTTTCGCTCGTAGGAACCTCAGTCCACAATGCCATCTCTTCCGTAAGCTGAATCTCCACACTATCACCCGTACTGCATAGCGCTACTGCACCTCGCTTCGAGGGTATACTGCGGGTCAACTGTAACAGGCATTTGGGCGTGTCGCGTACCCCATCTATCTTACGAAAAGTCTTGTAGAAGTCGCGCATGGCGACGCCCTGTAGTCCTTATCGCGGCCGAATGCATAGAAGTTTTGTTAGGCCAACGGCAAAGGGTCCGTCGCAACGACAACTTCCGATGATCATAGCCACGCCCTACGACGATAAGACTTGGTGACCAACGGGAATGCGAAAGAAGGTGTAAGCTTGTGCAGTACTGCCCGCTGTGATCGTGCATGTAGATCCATATATGAGCAGGGCATCTTTCCCTTCATCTCACACTCCTCATCACATCCATCTCTTCTTCACACCACAATGAAGGGTCTTTTCACAGCCTCTTCGGCTGCCCTGTCTTTGGCTGGTGGTGCTATTGCTAGCCCAGTTGCTCCTCGATCGGAAGTCGTCTTCTTCAAGCCTCTGGCTGTCACATCCAACTCGGTACACAACGTCCATGTCGGCTACGGAGACGATGACTTCGAGGGCGAGATTCGCCTGGTGTATGGCGAATGCGGCATGAAGAGCCACGCCGATGGTCACCACGACGTGGCATCCCACTACATCAAGCGATCAAGTCGTCCCGAGCGATTCGTCTGGATCGTACCGGATGATGCTGTCCATGGCGGATGCCTTCACGCCTACTCAGGCTCTAACCTGATTGGCCGCTCAGCGCCCATCTCGATCCAGCATCCACCAAGGAAACGAGAAGAGATCTCCGACGTGGCTGATGCCATGGGTCCTTGGTTCGACGGTGTGGCCTACATGGAGGCGAAGCAAAACAACGCATCATATGCCGCAGTCGAGAAGAGCAAAAAGATCGCCATTGTTGGTGGAGGCATGTCGGGGTTGATGACAAGTCTTCTCCTCGACTCCGTAGGCATCCACGATTGGCACATCCACGAGTCCTCGCAGCGTATTGGCGGCCGTATCAGGACGAAGTACCTTGCAGGCAGCACACCCGAGCAATACCAGTACCAGGAGATGGGGCCTATGCGATTCCCTGTCTCGATCACCTACCCGGACCAGAACGAGACACTGGAAATCAATGACCACAAGATGGTTTTCCAGCTCGGAGACGTCCTGAACCAGATGAACGGAGGCAACACCAGCGATCTTGCCGTCAACTTCATCAACTGGATCCAATCAAGCCCAAACCTGCCCGCTAACTCAAATGGGTACCGTCTGCCAAACGGCCGTATCCCTAGCGCAGCGCAGATCAAGAGCAACGCAACAGCCTACACATTACCAGCAGCTGAGGGCCCAGATGAGGAGGCCGTGGAGCATGCCGAGGAGGCATACGAAGACTTTGTCGGATACACACCAGAGGTCGAGCGGGAAATCGCCACCAATGTCTTCAAAGCTCACAAGAATGCCGTCGACAAGGGTCTCTTCCATTGGTCCGAGGCTGCGTACATCAAGTACGCGCTGAACGCCAGCGATGATGTTGTGGACTACATCACCGGCAACGGCGACGCTCCGATCTGGGAGTACGATACTGTATACTTCAAAGCCACGGATTGGCGAACCATCGACAAGGGTCTGGAGTCATTGCCGCGTGCATTCTACCCCCACGTTCAGGATCGTCTGACTCTGGGACGCAAGGTAACCGGCCTGCAGCACGATGAGAGCACCGGAAAGATCGCTGTCCAATGGCGCCAAGATCCTTTCGCCATGGAGCCCGAGAGCGAGGAATACGACTACGCAGTCGTTGCGGTGCCTTTCTCCAAGGTCAGGCTCTGGGATCTTCCCCAGTACTCCTCGCTTCTGTCGCGCGCCATCAGCGAGATGAACTACCAGCAGTCTTGCAAGGTCTCTCTGCACTACAAGACTCGTTTCTGGGAACACCTCCCAGAGCCCATCATCGGTGGCTGCGGCTCAGTCGACATCGCAGGTATCGGCAGCGTTTGCTACCCCGCGTACAAGGTCAACTCAACTGGGCCCGGTGTCATCCTTGGATCGTACATCTCTGGTACCCTAGCGCGCTCGGTGGGTGCACTCAGCGAAGAAGACCACGTAGCAATGGTCCAGCGGGCGATGGTGGAGATTCATGGCGATGTGGCTTCCGAGCAGTGGACTGGTGCATACGAGCGCCAGTGCTGGGAGACAGACGAGCACCAAGCCGGTGCTTGGGCCTCTCCATTCGTTGGCCAGCAAGATCTGTTCCTGCCCGCCTACTACAAGACCGAAGCCCAAACCATCTTCATCGGTGAGCACACCAGCTACACACACGCCTGGATCTTCTCAGCACTTGACTCCGCCGTGCGCGGCACTTCGCAACTGCTGCTGGACATGGGTCTGGTCGACGAGGCGAAGCAGATCGTGGATACCTGGATGGGAAGGTGGATCTCCATCTAGATGGATCAATAGAAGAAAGTAAAAGTTAGATAAACATCATAACAATGAATAATGTCTGATCAATGCAACAAAGAACTGCAATGGTGTTGAAGTAAGGTCGTGAGAATTATTGAGAGACGCGTGGTGCAGGAGCGATGGGGTGCGACTCCCCTGCGATGGCGTCATCGCCCCTGAAAGTTTGAGACCGAGGCTTTCACATGCATGTCTCCAACCATCCATCTACACCTTCGCAGCGCTCTCTTCGCTCTCTTCGGCCGTCCATCAACGAGGTGACACCAATCGCGCGTGGAGCCGTCCTGCGTCGGCGGACAATGCGACTGACCTGCCAAATACCACGTCGTTCGTGTCCGCTGCCACTGACAGATCACAGTGCCGATCATGGGAGTATCCTTGGCGATCACTGTTCACGTGATCACGCGTTCAATCACCCCCAAATCCAATTACCAGCTACATCTGGGCAATCCGGACACGACTGTTGATGTCGCAACACTCACGAATTCGAACCAGTATTGCTCAATTTGTTGCACGTCCACACTGAGCGGTCGCGACGACATTGCCATCTTACCAGTCCAGAGGGATACTAAACAGGTGCGCTACTGTCTACATCAGTATAGCAGAAAAGGAGTAGCCAAAACCCACGGTGATGTAGGCTTCTAAGAGGAGTATACAGTATGTCTCTTGTTGTATAGCGTGATGCTACCACGAAACCCGATCGATGAGCCAACTCGTCATTTCCGAAGTCGCGCCGCACCCCGGTAGGAGTCTGAATATGTAAATGCTACGGAGTTCACCTTGCGCCCAACTTGGTGTACTCAGACAGTTACATCTCTCGACTATGGCGACATCTCACCCAGAGAATCCAGTGCGGTCGGCTGGAGCGCTCAAGCGATTCCGTGACATGCTTGACAAGTAAGGCAAGTCTTCGACATTTTCGCGTGTTGTGCTGATAGCTCAAAGGGACTGGTCTGATGCGGAGCCCTGCAGAAAGAAGCTCAAGATCGAAATTCGCAAACAGAAACGAGCGATTCTCATTGCCAACGCGCTGTTGCGTGGATCGAAGCGCCTTGCTGACACTCCTTACGGACCTGCTATACACGCCGCCGCGCAAGCCTGGAAGAGACACGCGAAATTCCTTCCGTACGAAAACTCCGTTGCAGTACTGAAGAAGAAGTACAGCTTTGCCAACTACAACAAAGAAGTACGTCGTTACGTATGTCACGGACTTCTCGAGAAGATCGCAGCGCAAGAGATCCGGGACCAAATATACGGATACCTGGTTGAGCCTGGTCTAGTCACGCTCGTTGAGTCCTGGGATAGCCTCAGGGACGAGCATGAGAAAGACCATAGATATGTGGGTAACCGCCGACAAGCATGTCTATCTTCACGAAACCACGAATATTGGAGCTTCGACTTCCTCTGCAAGCAGCCTGAATTGCCGGAGATCTTCCAGTGCGACCACGTTGGTCACAAGTTCTTAGTTGAACTAGTGCAGCACTGGTACAGAGTCAACACCTTCGTCATTGAACGTCCCGATGACTTGTCTCTTATCCCAGACTTCGCCATTCAAGATCGTTGGCAGCTGGGCATCGTGCCGCGCGATCACATCAAGAATCTGGAGTTTCCCATTCACGTGGCCTTCGTTGCTCGAGAGGACAATGGCAAGCCGCCACCCCAATTGCCGCTGCTGTGCAAGGGACTGGAACAGTTCCTGCAGTTCAGTCCTGGTACCAGGATCAATCTAAAGATTGTGACCAGCACACCACCTAGGAGCAGGTTCATCAAGAGCCCTTTCTCATCGCGCAATATGGTCTCACGAACGCCGGAAAAAGGCCGCGTCTGGACGCGCAACGAGACAGCGATACTGGAGTTTGTTAAGGATTTAGAAAGCGGACTTTTCGACACGTTCAAGAGACTTTGTGATGCTGGGCTTCGGCTGGTGTTTAATGTGGACCCTTATTATGTGGGTCCCAACTTGGAGATCAAGGTCTTTAATGCCGAAAAGATCACGTATGATTTGTGGGCTGAGAAAATACTGGCGTATGAACAGGAACTGGAATGAGCATTGAGGTAACGCCACCTCACAGGCTACTATCACAACATCTAGCCCCAACCCCTCATGGATCACTTCCACTCCAGTACACCATACCGTACCAAATATATCCCCTAATGTATAACCAATGCGCCGGCAACAACCTCCCCACTCCTTTCTCTAGCAACTAAACCCACAATCTGTGGTACGACATCTACCGTCCCCGTAATAAGCTGTCAAGCAGCTGCAGATATCGGGGGTAGCTTGTGTCTAGTTTTGATTAGAAAGTACTCTAGGAGACCCCGGATTGTAGGTCACTTACATCGAGACATTGCTCGTACCAGAGTGCGCAGATGTAGCACCATAAGAGTGGCTTTCCGTCAGCGGCTTCGGCCGCGACGGCCGCGTCGACTGCGGCGTCGATGGCAGTGACATCGGGGCGCAGGGCTCATGATGCAGGGACTGCGATGGCAGTTGTGGCCATGAAGGTGGTGATGATGGGGAGGAAGCGCATGGTCGGTCTCTATTATTGGAATAAGTTCTGGTGGTTAGACGTTCGGTTGAAGATTGAGTTCTTCCAAATTGCTGTGATGATTGTCTTTGGAGAGACGTAGCGCAGGCTCTTCTTATAGTTGGGAGGCTCCTGGTACCAGTAATAATGCGTCAACCGCGGCGCGAGCGCTATCACGGCATATGACTTTGCCGACGAGTGAAGGACGAAGTCGCGATTTAACCGCTGTATAGGTGAATGGTGGTCACGAAAGCAGTGAACCCCTTACTTATCATGAGGGGCAGTGTATCGATTGACGAGCTTATGTGACGTATCATAATGAGATCGTGCCCATCAGCAGGTGCGTCGTAACAGATCTGTCCTCGATCTTCGATATCGCACATCACATCCTATGGGTTCCCGTTGCAGCCAGATGTCGACGAGCTCAACACTCTTCAGTAGATTGTTGCTCTGGGAAAGTTCTAGCTCTTATGATTTGTGATATCCCAGCCGGAAGACATACGATCGGTTTACTAGAAATGAATGATAGAAGGTGCAATCGTCTGTAGCTTACAGTAGTATGTGAGCGTCAGCGCCCTTCATCAGTTCCATGTGCCATCTCCATCGGGCTCTCCGACGCAGGCGCAGGTGAATTATGCCCAGCCGCTCTTGTAGGCCAACCCCGCAGCTGATAACAGCTTCCCACCGGACGATACATGCAAGATAGCTCAAAACTCCGCAACGTCGTATGTATGCTTGCGGCGTGGCACTGACGACTCATGTCGATGACGTCGTGTCGCTGAACATGCCCACCAGCGATTGAACAGTCGGGGAAGCAAGGGCGTGAGTCACATCGGAGATGGTGTGCGGGACGTAGTAATCGGCTAGATCATGCGCCGGCCCGCTTTTGAGTCACACGAGGCAATCGAGATGCTGAAGGACGATGCATCAGCAGGTGCGTGTTCGGACACGCGTGGACAAAGTGGACGTCACGTGGACGTTTATCGATAAGCTAGTGCCGGAACATCCTGACGCGGGCACCGCGAAACGTCACCTCACGACGCGTGCCATGGTTGCCTTCATCCTCCTTGTCCCCAATCGCGATCTGCCCACATGCCGACGACACCTGCTTCCTCTTTCGCTGGCAGCGTGCGCGTATGGTGTGAAACCCTGACCGGGTGACACGCGCTTGTCCTGTTCCTGTTACGCCTAGCTACCAGCTCCACCGTCGGGAACGCACGATCGAGTCCTTTTCGCTTGCCGCTGACGCATCGGTCTCGTTCACCTAGCTCACACGAGCGCATTCGGATAGACATATATTGCTCGAGTGGTGGGAAGCCGGCTCTTGCTGGTAAATGCCGCAAGGTCGTTACGGGAGATCATGCTGAATGCATGCCGCTCCGGCGCTGAGGTCGTCAAAGGGCGGGCCCCACCATCCTCAATACACATTCGGCGATGGTGACTTTCCAGTCATGCTGGATAATCACAGTGTGGAGCGCACCTTGTTGGGCCGTCCATTCAGGTAGCAGACAAGAGCGAGGATGCCTCAAGGCAGAAAGGGCGGCTGTGCTATGCTCCTTACGTACGCCTGCCATATCCCGCTTCCCGATTGGCGCATCGCAATATTCTGGCAGCACTTCATTCGAAGAAAAACACGAACGCTATGATGCCTACGTTGATGTTAGGTCATCTACTTGGCAAGATCTCGTCTTAATGTAGGCTGCAAACCTAACGCAGCATGCAGCGCATACCTCCGCATTCAATATATAGTAGTAAAGAAAGCGTTCAGCCCTGACGGCCTTCATTCCAGAATAGGCCAGCGGCATGCGGCACATCCTATCAGGCAGCTGCGATCTGAGGTTCTGTCGAATTGCGTGGAACCGTGGAGTCATCAAGTGTGGTGGGGGAGTACATATAAAGTCCCGTTCCATGGTAAAGGCGGCTTAGCGAGTATACCTGCCCCTTGAATGCTTTGTGCAGCCGCCAGACCCCAAGCCATTCACGTGTGCACGCTAGCGTAGATCAGTCTTCGGAAGCCGCATAACAGCTCAACCTGCCGCACCGTCCTCGCTGATTCCAACCTCATCGCTCTGCCACCACACACATAAAGCCTGCTCAATTCCCGCGCTGTCGCGTCAAGCACGACTGCACCCCGCACCAAGCAACACTCGACCTGCTTCTTCTGCACGACATTGTCCCTCAACGACTACACCCTGTGTTCGCGGCATTCTACCTGGTGAATCCTAGTGCTCCCGATTAGCGCATGCTTTCACCCCTGTCGTGCGTTGGCTGAACCCACCCCACATCGCGCCACCTGAAACAGGTACATCGTCAAAGGACATCACCAGTCACCGATCCGATTGCATCTTTCTCACACATACTTTAATCCACCGCGACAACTACTCAAAACCGTTGTAGCCGCCATGGCGAGATTTGACGACTTCCCGGCAGAGTTGCGCAACATGGTATACGACCAGCTTCTCCGCGATCGTCATACTCAGCAGCCAACTCACAACTCTCTTGCACTCTTCACCGTCTCACACCAGGTGCATGTAGAGTCTACTTCTTACTTCTACAAGAACAATCCCATCAGCACCGTCGCCCCGTCGTCGCCTATAAACGCTAGCGCCACCGTGCTTCCTCCTATCGCCGATAAATACCTTCGATTCCTAAGTCGACTCAACTTATCTGCCACGATTGGGAGAGCGAATCCGGAAAGAGAACGCAAGATCGCTGGTACCATAGCATCACTAGCTACTATCGGCGCAGCCTTCGAGGAGCTGGACATTTGCATTCAATCTTCCTTATCAAGGCTTACGAATTCACGCGTCGATGACTCCGTATTACACGCCAACCATCCCATCACGGTTTCATTGCGACGACTGCTCGATTCTGGAGTGGCAAAAGTTTTGCGCCTCGATCTCCACAAAGTCTGGTTTGCGCCCGGTATCGCCCAAGACCTTCACGTACGATACGGCACTCGACTCCAGTTTGTGGGTGACAGGAACGCTATCAAGGACCCAATTAGCATGGAAAGGTCTCTCACTGGCGTTTCTTCAAGCTCTCATCTGACCACCTTAGGTGTCGATGACGAAGTCATGGCCAACGCTTGCTCAGACGATGCTTACACTCCCCGGACGCCATCTTCTCTTCCTTCCTCGATCTGTTCACCATTCGAAGATCTGGACATGTTTTCGGTGACGTCGTTCGATCTCAACTCCGATACTACTGCCGACGACGAAGGGTCCATGGAGTACGCGAATGAAGGATCGTTCTTCTCTGGCGCCGACATCGAAGAATGGGAGGCCTCAACACAGGCAGCGGAACAGGAAGAACCGAAACACCCGTACGACATCGAAATCGATGAAGACGAAGATGATGATGAGGATGAAGAGATGGAAGACATATCGCAAGATGATATGGAGGCGATATTTGGCAATCTGGAGGAGACCGCTCATCACGTTGCCAATGATGCTGATATTTCATACATGACTAACTTTGCGCCTGAGCTGCTTTTGACTCGGCACAATCTTGGTCATCTGGAATGAGGCTTACGTGGTACTACTACTAGGTGTCGCGATATGGCATGTGTGGACTTCCCATGATGTCAGTGCGTGTTGTACAGCAACCATGATGATGCATGATTGCAGCGAGCAATCTCGCGTGCAATTTGCGGTTATGGCATCTTTCCTTTCTTCGGCGTTCAGCATATGGCGACCTTCAGCACCGAAGCGTGCTCATCGCGTCTTACACCAGCGAGTGCTAGCATTTATCAACGGCGTTTTCTTGGTTTTTCACATGTATCGGATACCCGTGCGCCACCATCACCAGCATTAAGGCGTTTTTCTTCATTCCACGACGATATACTGGCACGGAAATCGCCACGTCTCTTTATAGAAATTACCAATCGCAAACATACCTTCCATCCCATCTCACTCCAGCCTGCCGATGTCATCATATCTGAGTCATCGGGAATGACTCCCATAAACTTACATCCTCATTGCTAATCAGCTTCTCGCAGCACTAGTATTCTCCCTTCATCATCCCCTCCGTAGCTCTCTGCGGTCAGCGACATGGGGAATGATCGATGCAGACTTCGCAAACCCCGCTTTCCCGACCTTCCTGACTCTCAACACGACGTGGCCATGCCGCCGCCGGAGAACCCCTTCGCTCACTTCGTTCACTCTCAAGCACGCCGCAAGTCCGAGTCCGCTGCAATCCCAATTCACGACCGGGATGTCAAGCGCGACACTGCGACAAGCTCTACGGCGCGAAATCCCTTTGCGCCTCCGGTTCCACCAAAGGACGAGCCGTATAAGACGGCGTCCACTTCATCCGCGATCAGCGGGACAGGGAATACTCTGAGTGCCTTGGAGAAAGAGTGGATGCTTAACGACTGCATTCAGCCGAAGTCGGTAAATGAAGATAGGCTGAGACAGGAATACTCACCGAAGAGTATGAGGGCGGTAGATGAAAGCGAAAGCCGGGACGGAAGAACACCCGCCCGCCGGATACATCCAGCTTTGAGGTCGATCTCATCACCGCCACGAAGCTTTATAGCCCTCCGGGAGAGTGTCCAAGATAGCGGGGTCGACGTGTTCAGTCCCGTAACCTCCAGCGATGCAACATCGGATGACGCCAACAGCGAAGTCATGCCGAAGGCCACAAAGCGCGACACCGTCGCCGATCTATTCAGCGAGATAATGGGAACCGGTAAAGCGCCACGCCTACCGCGTCAGAGAGTGCTAGACGAAGTATCTACACGTTCCGCCGTGCCACCTCCCCTGCGTATACCCAGCAAGCCCAAGCCTTCGCCTCGTGGTAGCGCCCTACCCCCGACGACGCACAAGTACAACAAGCTAGAGCTAGGCGGCCGTCCTTCACTCCAGATCGTAACGACTTTCGCCGAGCCCAGAACCGCACCAGAGCCCCTCGCCAATCGACGTAGTTACACGAAGCGCATGAGTCACGGGCACGGTCGTAAGGACAGACCAGCACGCGCATCTATGATGCGATGGAGTCTCTTCCAGAAAGATGCGCAAGTACCACCACCGCCGCCAGTGCCAGAACCACGGAATGAGACTCCGCCCATACCCCGGAAGAGCAGCAAGAGAGGCAGGAGTATCACCTTGCGAGAGCCATTGCTACCCAAGAAGAGCACATCTCCTCTTGGAGAAAGTCCACCACCGCCTCTCCCCAAGCAACGGCGCGCGCAAACCTTTCCTGCGCAAAAAAGCTCTCACAAACTGCGGAAGGATTCGGATATACGTCTTTCACCCACCCTGCCTCAGCGCAGGAACACGCATCACATCACCGTGAACAGGATGCGCGATCCTGATGAAGCTTTCGAGGAACTTATCGCGCTTCGCAGACGTGCGACCGGTGATGTTGACGGAGGCGCACTCACGGTGCCTGGTAGGGCAAATAGCAAAATTCACAGCGTTAGTGGTGATGGAGGAGGTGATTGTTTCGGCCTATACTCAACAGCAAAGAGTCGCGTCGATGACATCGTAGAAGTAGTGCGAAGCGTGAGAGAAAAGAATAGGGCGAGGAAGAAGCGAGAGAAGATGATGGCGGAGGTGAGGAGGAAGTATGAGGAGATGGCTAGTGCTACTACTAATACGACGGGTGGAGAGGGGGGGTATAAGTGGTTGTAATTGGGTATTAGATAGGGTTCAATTTGTTAATGTGTCCATACTATGTCTGCAGTTGTATCACATTCATACTTTCGCGTCTTTCGATTGTGATGACGGCCACACAAAGTTCCTCGCCTTGCCTTCTCGCAAGTCTTCCGCTGTGGGTGGAATGGTAGGCTGTCGCATAGGTCGTTCCCGCCCATCCGATGAGTGAGCTGAGGAAGACTTGGGTTGTGCCTGTGGTGTAAACGTTGCCGCGCAAGGGTTCAGAATCTGTGCGACTCTTGCTAGGAATTCTAGACTGAAACTGGGTTCTGCGTTGGGTGATGTCATAGTGCTGTTGTGGGGTGGGAACGGCAAGGGTGACTAGATAGATGTATGGGTGGGAATAAATGGGTAGGGGAGCAAACGCAGTGTTGGTGATTGTTGTGTGCGACAATGACTAATGTGGTGGGCGCGTGACTCAAGCAAGCAAGTTGTGATGGTCAAAGACGTTGTTCTATACCTCGCTCTTGTGTTGTCGCAGCAGCTGGGAGGATCGTGGATACATGCTCAAAGAGTGTTTAATAGTTCTGACTACTATGTAATCTTTCAGACTAGGCTACAACACCTACTCATCTCCGCTCGCTAAGACTGTCGCTACCCTGTTCTCCATCGTGCACCCGCCCGTGTATTTCATCATGGCGCAGGACCCAAAGATCCTTCAGTCGAGGTGTACTCTTATACCGGCATTTCATTCACTGCTTCTCCAAGTACCCAAGAACCAGAGGACCAGAGGAGCGCGGAAGTGGTGAGCTAGAACTTCATGTTACTGATACGGCTACTCTTCTTTGGGACCGCGGGCCTTGGTTTTGGTGATGAGCTGGCAGAACTACGGCGCCGTGAGGAGCTGTTAGACCCACTCTCTTCCTCTAGAGAAACCTGGTCAGTGGGTGGTGTTGTTAGGTCCGCCTCGTTTGTCACCCGCATATTCTCTGGCGAGTGGCCGGCATGTGTCTTAACTACCATAATTAGTTCGCCGATGTGCACGAGAATATGTTTCAGTGTGTCCATGGCTGCACCCCGGAACTCACTTTCTCCGATTTCTGGACCGTAGCCGTAGCCATCGTGGATTCCAGATTCGATAACCCAAGCTATGGACCCCATGGCGTAGCTTATGTAGTAGATGCAGTTGCCGAGGAAGTAGGGTTGCAGCAGAGTTATGGCCGTCCATATCATGCCCGAAGCAAGCGCAGCAGTGCTAGGCTGAGCACCGGGAATGTACAAGATGCCCTGATAAACTGCGATTATGAAGAAGACTACCACTGCGACGAACATGGCCATGTGTAGTGGTGAGGGGGTGTATGTACCGGACGTGTCGCCTTCTGGGGCCGGGATATCCGTGCCTCGTGAGTCATGATCGTGTCGGTCGTCGGTAGAGGGGACCTTGGTCTCTTCATGTTGGCGCGCTTCGCTACTAGTGTCGATAGGATTGGGATTCGTGGGCACGAAGGATAGTGGTGCCGAAGACTGGCTTGAGGTCGATGAACTTTTCATTTGGTCGTGGCCTGCTTCTGTCATTGTGCTATGGAGTCTGTGGCCTAAACGTATGGCTTGTTGTGTAATGAGTATGTGGAGAAAGTGGTGGCGCAACCCGATATACATACTGAGCGGAGAGAAGTTTGCTTCGTCTCAAAGAGAATGGGCGAGAAAGCGGACGCAAGAAGGAAATTGTCAGCCAAACAACAACAATAACAAGACTTCTAGAAAGAACCATGCTACAAGAAAATCAGTTCTCCGACGTCCATTCAAGCATTGCGCTAGGGTGGGTAAAACCTGAGTGGCAGATCAGGCATCCAGTTCCTGTAGACCTGGTATCGGTTGGCGTTTGCATGCATACAATGCGGAGCAGGCTACGCCGCATCAGGTCTATAAGACAACGTCACGAAGTCAGTTTTAAGTTAAGAACACCCGTGCAGCTAGTTACCGAGAGTCAGAGTTGTGTCGCGTACTCGAGGTTTGACAAGTCGACGACGCCGCACGGCAGGCTGACGACAAGAGTGTAAGAAGTAGACATCGGCCCCAGTGATGATCACTGATCAGGACCAGTAATGATACCTAGGCTATCCATCGTAGCCCCATAGGTGTAGTAATCACCGAGCTTATTGCATTGACGCTGACAATGTCGAACGTTTGATTGCTCCACGGACCTGCGGAACGCCCAGTCAGCAGCCGCATATTGTGGCACCGCCCAGGAAACACGGCGTTCGCTGCAGTGGACACAGGTTCGTTTCAGACAGCAACAGACAGCGGCGTCGGATGCGGGGTGGTTCTGCATGTTGGAAAGGAGGCGTTGGCTTATCGGGAACTGCGAAGATGTCAGGAGGCGGGATGGAGATGTCGAGTGGGGCGGGTAGTCCGGCGGGGAGATTACCAGTTTCTGGTAGGCGTCGCCCCAATTTGGACCCTTTGCCACCATCTTCGCTCGTCCGGTCGCACTGGAAATGGCCTCGAGCCCAACACGTACAACAATAGCTGTTCCGTGGTTCTCGGAAAATATCAACAGCTTCGACTTTGTCTATATTGATGCGCTGTCAGCCACAGCGGCACATGACCGCCAACTGCACTGTGATGCCGTGCCAGCCGTTTACCAGCGCGGCAGGAACCGTGCATCAACCATTTGGAAAGATTCACGGCTCAGCAGCGGGCCAGCATCTGATTCGCCCCAAGACGGGATCCAGAAGCCACTTTAGCACCGCCAGTGGATCCAGGTTCGGGGGCGTCTGGCTGCAGGGACACCGCAAAAGGCTGAAGGGCCTGCCAAGCGCAATCTCGCCGGCCCCCAGCGCCCCATGCCACCTCCTGCGCGTCTTGGCTGGTGCTGACGAGCTGGCGGGTCTGTCGTCTTTTAAAATGTGCTGATCCCCCGACGCCCTGCCACAGCACGCTGCACCCCCTATCGCCATCGTAACATCTCCGTCTGCACTCTCGCGTCGCTCGTTAGGATCTATCCTCGTTCCTGGATCTACGCCGCCCAAGATGATGCTACCGTCGACTGGAGGTCGGAGCCCGTTGCTCGCGCTCTCGGTGAGCGCTGGCTGTGTCCTGGTATTCATCTTCGCCTTCATGGCTTGGCAGAGTCCACCCCGGGTGACTTTCCCACATGGCCAGTCTAACTTGTACGTGCTGTCAATTCATGGTTCTTGGGACGGAAGGGCCATGGCCTAATCAATGCTTTTCCGGCGGAAGCTAACAGACCCTACAGAGCTGCAGCCAGCGCGCAGACCGACTCGACCATTGGCGATGTCATCAAGCTACTGTACCAGAACCTGAAGGTGTCACCAACTGAGCCCTTCATTCGCGAACCAAATGGCAGCCACATCACGTTGCCACCGAACCCGCGCTACAAGAAGAACCTAGGCAGCGACGTCCTGATTCTGGATCTGGAGACCCGTCCCCTCAAGTCTACTGAGGAGTACGAACGGGGCGAATATGACTGGCGCAACATCAACCACGTTTCTGGCGGCATCTTCAACCACTACACATATGCGCTTGTCCACGGCTACGACTACAAGTTCGTCCAAGCCCGTGAATTCGAAGACCGACACGCTACCTGGATCAAGCCCTCTGCACTTGCAAACCACATCAAGGACTACAAGTTCATCATCTTCCTCGACGCCGATGCCGCTTTCCGCTTCCTGCACGTCCCTGTCGAATGGATGCTCAACCACTGGGACGTAAAGCCGCACCACTCCTTCGTCATGGCCAAAGACCCTTGGAGCGCGAAAGAGCCCCAGTACAACTCCGACCGCTTCAACCGTACCTACACCAACACCGGCTTCATGATTGTTCAGAACAACGAGCAAACCCTGCCCATTCTCAAGGCATGGCACGAGTGCCCCGACGACACCCGCTACGCAAACTGCTCGCAATGGAAGCAACCCCGCTTCCACGAGCAATCCGCTTTCGGCGAGTACATCCGCTACGACTACGAGCAATACATCAAGGAGCTTGAGTGTGGAGAGGCCAATGGCTTCCCCGGTGTCGAAGTCAGCAACTGCCAGGGCAAGCTCATCCGCCACTACTGGTTCGAGAAGAGCAACGTCAAGATGGACTTCCGCGAGAACATCATGAACGCACTCACACTTCCGATACAAAAGATCTTCGCGCAGAACACGAGTGGCGTCGTATACCAGCAGGAAGAGAATGTCATACTACAATAGCAACGGCTTGCTCTACTGGCAAAGCACAAAGATAATACGTTTACGAAGAAAGAAGAAAGGGCTTATCGCATAGCATAGCGTTGCATTACCAAGGCGTTTTCCAGATATGGGATGGGCAATCATTTGTTATCATGTTTTCGGTTTTGGTTCGGTTCGGGCTGGGTGGTTTTCGCCCCGATTCATTTTACCGTCGCACTTTCGATCTGGGTCTTCCGACGCGATGATACCCCAATGCGAGTCTCCAGTTCACACAATCAATATTATTCACAACAAGACTGATATCCCGTCATTGCGCCAGATTACCTTGCCTTGTTTCGAGTTGCTGCGCTTGGCTTCCGACGCTGTGACACCCGGGGCCAGTGTCACCTGCCGAACGAGGTAAACTCCCCTCAGCCGATCCTACAGCTTACCACGATTGAGAGGCCCATCAAGCGCATCACTAACGGCACGCCTGAGAGCTACAAAACAGGATCTCTTGCCCAGCCCAGCCGCTTATCACCGCCACTTCACCCTAGCCACGCGACTGCATATCTGCCAAGGCGCTAGAACGTCGTTAGCGCCGATGATCGGCGGTCAGCCACGTCCTCGAAATTGGGTTCGGCTGGCAGGGCGGCGTCCTATGTAGGTTGGCCGACCGGAGTTGCGACGGCGCTGTTCAGGCGGTCTGTCTGCGGAGACTACTCGCTCTGCTTTGGGATGGACAATGGCGAGCTTTCGCGACAAGTGTCCCGAAATAGGCTGAATGCGCTTGTCGATCTATACGAAGCGCTTCGGATTGCGCCGGACGCTGGAATTGGCAGGTTTGGTCGGCGTACCCGGTCCCGGTGCTAGCAGGTTCTGACACGACGCTACTTGGCCTTTGGACGATGCTTCTTTTGGAGATGTAGCCTTAGGGTGGAGGCTAGGGCCTTTCGTGCGTAAGATGGTCGTCTCAATGATGGCTTACTGAAGGTGGCATATACACTCTCAATCATATACCGGACGACAAGCAGTACATGTCGCCAAACTTCATTATTCGTCGCATCTCGTTCCCGTCTCAAGCATGAAGCTCAGCTTCAACACACGAGAGAGACTCGCCATCTACTCACGCTTGCCAGAAGCTATTAGTGCTTCATGTACCCCGAGTTGCATTGGTCCTTGGCGTTTCCGAAGCTCACCTTCAACACGAGAGAAAGTCGTCACCTACTTACGCACGCCAGAAGCTGTTAGTAGTCCGTCTACCCCGAGTTGCTTCGGTCCTTATCGTCTCCGCATCGCACCAAGCTCTCATGCCAGAAATGAGCGCTTGCCCTCGTACCAAACTCGGTGTACATGTGAAGCCGGAGTATCACCAGCGGGGTTCTTGACGGCCTGAGTCTCAGTTCCCTCGGAACTTTTTTTCAGGAGCTGGAACACATCCATGGTTTGTATATACGAATATTATCTCGGTCTTGCGACCATCCATATAGGCGAGGGATAGTATTCGTCTAGGCGCACGCCAAACATTTCGTGCACCGATATCGAACATCTACCTATTTCTACTTCACCACACTCCCGTCCTGCGCATCGCTCACGATGGATTGCATGGATACTCGAGGTAATCCATATCGTTTCCAGCTTGCTTCTTGCGCCAATTCAAACGAACCTCCGCAGCGCCGCACTTTGGAATTTGTACAACCCCAGGTACAAGAACAATGTCCCCGCCGTCGATCTGATCCCAAAGAATTTGTTTGCCTTCATCCGTGTCTATCTCGGGTGGCTTGTCGAGATCCTTGTTACTCCCTTTGGCGGCAAACCGAGACAAGATGCTGTTCGTAGACGGGATATGTTAGCAGAGCGATGTGAGTGTAACAACGAGCGAAGTGCACACATACCCTTTCACAATGTCGTCCCTTGTGATGCCACCCCATACGAGTCTCTGTTCGTCACTAGGCTTCGTATCATCTTCAACCTCGCCCAACCCGTCGAATCCAGGTAGTAACGACAGCGGCAGCTCCGTGCATCTGTCCCCAGAGTGCGGAGTTTGGAAGCACTCTATTGCCAATCCTTTCGGGTCAAGGAGGAAGTAGTTCTTGTCGTCAACACAAACGGCGATCTTTTCGGTCTCATCTGGATATATGTAGTCGTAGTCGCCACTGCCGACGTCGTCGCAGCTGAGGCCGTCATCAAGAAGCACTGGTGTGATGCCGCGTAGTCGCCATGCGTATGGAATCAGATAGGCGTAGAGGGCTCGAAGTACACGCTTCTCGATGTCTATCGTGCTTTCCAATGATGTTAAAATCATTTTGTTCTGATTGATGAGCGTAAACAGGTGCTCTATGTCGCGATCGGTCAAACCACTAAAAAGCGCGGCGGTAGAGCTATCGATGATGAATTTCCAATTTTCAGTGAGTGCCATGAGCGCATCACTGAGCTCCTGCTTGGATGTTTCCACAACCGTGCTAAGACAATGTTAGCCGACTTCCAACAGAGGCGCAAACACGCTCATGCTAATTGTGCTTGTGATAGTAACAGAACTTGAGACAATTCTCATTACCGCTTGAAAGGTACGTACCCCTCTTTGAGCATATCGTTTGCTTTCGAAATGCCAACATCGACTCCGGACATGACAGTCTCTTGCATCGTCTCTTGCGCAGTTGGGTTTTTGATGAAGAATTTTGAGGTTGCGAAGGCCTTTTGAAACAATGGCCCTCCAACCATACCAAGGCCGATACCGAGAAAGCTGAATAGCCAATCCAATGATTCGTCTGGCTTTACTTCTGGGGCGAATGTACTCGTGAAGCTGTCCATTTGAGAGTCGGCCGTATTGCTGGCATCCTTCATCCCTTCATAAAAGTTGTGTTGAAGCTTCGAGGTTGCGTCAGCCAAAGGTAGGAGACCACGGAGATCTTTGCTTACCTTGCTGACTTTCGTGAAGCCACGCAATATCATCGCCGCTCCCGGGGATAATTTGTCGTCGCATTTCACGCCGACGAAGCAACCATTCTCCTCGGCCGTCACATTGCACTCCATGTCAACCGGACCCTTCCAAAAGTTACTCAAGAACCGCACAAAGGAGAGCTCGTTGGGATTGACTCCTCCGTGCCACTCAGTGATACCAGCATCCCAGGCACTCTTGCACTTGAGCTGCTCCCATCGCTCGATCACATTTGCGTTTTCATCGTCTGCCAGAGGGTGGTCGCAGCCCACTTCTTTCCAATCATCATCAGTCTCGATTGGCAGAGCGATTCCGTCCTCACCATTTCCTTCACCAGCATCTGGAACATATGCAGCCAAGTCAACGGCCCAATCTGTTGTTCCACCGAAGTTAAGACTCCGGTAAAGATCAGTCCGCTTATCTTTGATACCGTCACCCATATATGCGACCCAATCAGAACCGTAAACCAATACGTCTGAATCGGAATCGACATCGTAGTATCTCCCTGCTAGGCCGCTTCCGAGTATTTTGGATATTTCCGCGTTTGCTATATAGCCAGCTGTTCCGGTGCATTCGCCTTTAGCAGCACTGGACTCCGGTCCGGAGAACGTGCAGAGCGGTCCGGTACACGAAGACTCTGTCATGCGGAATGACCGACCATAACTAGATACTCCAACAATAATCTTGGAACTGGGAACACCAGCCTTGGTGATCATGGACAGAGAGTTCATCGTTTCGGTCAAGTTGACATGCGAGCGCAGGCAGTTGCCTCTTGGGCAGCCTGGATTGGCCCATGCGTTATTGTAGTCCCATTCTGCGTGCATGTTAGCTTGGGGTTCGTGTCTGATAAATGATCGTGATGCTTACGGCCGTGGAGGTCGTATGTCATGTAGACTATATAGTCAACGACCTTCGCGATTTCGTTTATCGGAAACGATTTGAGGTACCAGTAGGATGCCGGTGCAGCGATGGATATACTCTCTTCTACAGACGTAATCAGCTAACGCATCAGAAATGACCACGAAGTTAGCCTACTATTTAGTTTGGCTCTCAAAAGCTTGAGTAGCGCGAGATAGTTCGCGCCATCGATCGGCTCCGCGGCAGGAATGCCCGGTATGTCTGGCGCTCCTGGATACTCCCAATCAATATCGACTCCGTCCAGGTTGTTGTTGCGAACAAAGTTGGCGATATGTGTGGTGAGTATGTCCCTGTTGGCGGGTTTAACGCCTTCACGAAAGATCCAATATGAGCTGGGACTTGTAGATGCTGTCCAGCCACCAAAGGCAAGGATACGCTTGGGCCCCCGCATGTTGACAAACTTTTCGAATTGTTCCCGGACCGGCCCTATTGTGACACTGAACTGAGGTGTGACGTCCGCAAACGCGAAATGTACGTGCGTATAACTTTTGTCGATTTGAGTGACGTCCATGTGAAGACACGGTCTTTCCTTCTTGTTCCAGGCCTCGAAGTAGCCCAGCTTCATGAAGTTTTTAGGTGCTTGGTCATTGTTCACAATGTTTGTACCACAATTCGAAATGCAACCATTTTTACCAGGCTCTGATGTCCCTGGAGGACCCAGCGATGCCCTGGTGCAGAAGTCGGCGGTAGTACCACACTGGCCCCAGACATTGCAACAAGCATTGAGAGGACATGGATTCAGGTTTGATAGATCTGTGCCTTTAGATGGTGATGAAGTGCCAGGCTTTTGTGGTCCGCAAACAGCGTTCTCGATGGGCGCCGGCATGGAAGGCGAACCAGAGCTGAGACACATCTTGATACCAGCGTAAAGGATATCGCACCCTGACCAGCCCCATGTTTGCTTGTTGAATTCGTCGAGATCACTCAGTTTGAGTCCATTGCTGGCGGCGATACTGTCGCACCAGTCCCCTGCCTTTACAAGGTACCAAGCACAGCTGCCGTCGGAATCTGGTTTGGGGCGGAAGTCAGGAAGGGTACCACTGCTGCAACAGGCCCGCTGTCCTGGTCTGAGATTGGAGCAGAACGAGCTGCCGGGGTTGTATTTCGTGAAATCAGCACCACTAATACCACATTTCGAAGCAAGAGCACCGCAGCCGTCTCCAGAAACAACCTGGATAGTTTTACAATCTGCGCGACGAACCAAGCCAGTTGTAAGCGTATCGTTATGCCAGGATATGTTTGTCTGGATGGGGGGCTCTATAAGGTACGCATGTGTCGTAGCGTTGGTGTACCATAGCGTTGTCTGTCCGAGACTGATGTCTTGCCCGACCTTTCCGATACAAGTTGCATTCTGCCAGGATGCAAGAGCTGAAGCTACTCTGTCGAATGCCTCTCCTGGAGTGTTGTCCGCGAAGATCCCCAAGATATAGTCCGTTGGCGACCCTTGGTCACAGACCTGCAGTGCTAGCGTCGAGTAATGGGGCGCATCGGAGACCCTAATGTGATCGAGTAGCTGATCTAGAGCCGTGATAGCTACTCCAGGCTTGTTGATGGCGGCCCCAACGTGTACGCCAACGACGGTGTTTCCGTAGTGTACCGTGACTGCGGTCGTTCCGGATTCTTCGCTATGATCGAACAGCAGTGATGCCTGAAGTTCTTTGATTGTAGTAACAAATTGAGGCGTGATAACCTTATGCTTGGCTTCCCCAACCATGACAGTGATGTTAGGCGTGGCTAATTGCAAAGTATGATCGTTCTCGATTGCTGCGTACGCTTCGAACTGTGCATCGAAGACGGCTCTTCCGCGGTATGTAGTGCAAGCTCGAATGATGGGAATGGATTGCGTGAAGGCGTTCGGAGCCTTTTCTACCAGGAAGTTGACCAACTTCGGCTTTCGAGCACATGCGTTGAGGAAACTCGGGTCTGCATAACGCGTCCAATTCGCCGCATTGGATCCAACCAGCTCGCAAACCACTGGACAGGGGCTGAGACCGCTGTTGACAAAGTAGTCGTGAGAACTGGTTTTGAAAGCGAAGGAACGACCGGATCCGAACAAGCCGGCAGCCAGCAGCAACACAATGCTAGTGAGCAACATCGCAGACGCTCGGTATAGCAATACGAGTGGTAGGTATATAGCGTATTGGCGTGCTTGTATGACAAGGAGTAAAGTGAGATTCTATCGAGATGTTTCTGGAATGTGCGTGGGCACGTCAGTGTTGACTGGATCAGTTCGACTCAACTTCGAAGCATCTGCTTTTCCTCGACGTGGTACTGTGCCCTAGTCCGTACTGCCCGGGCGACATTCCATCCGATCGATATCTAATCGACCGAGCAGTATCATCCGGTGCTGGTTGGTCGCACGCATCCTGGCTGTTAGTGCAGTACTTGGTACCAAGGCCTTGAAACTGTGTAGGCTTCATTTTGGTGTGTACTTAATAACCCATATTTAGCCTGCAGCCAAGTTGAAAATGAAGAGGTCTGAGCACTGGAGGCGTATGGCTAGCTGGGCGCATGCTTGTAACGTTGCATCGGTGGGCATGCTCTGCAAGAGATCATCGTACGTTGTCATGCACGCCCAAACTCCCTGAGTGCTGATCACTGTCAGGCACAAGACTACGTCGCGGTCAGTCTGGGGTATTCTCAAGATATACGCTTGTCAGTTTATTAGAACATACATGTGTAGCTTCGCCGCAAAGCTATGTGCTAGATGGTGGTGATGCTAATACGAACATTGATCAGGACTCCATGGGGCGACGCCAAGATTGCGTCATTGGGTCTGGAGCGCTAGCGGAGCACGTGCCATCAAGCGACGAGCTTGAGTCCAGACGCCGAAGCTTGCGGATGGACGTGTTACACTCACCCGGCATCAAAGGTAGATCGCATCGAGTGGCATGCTGCCTGGGTGAATACATGGCATCTCCCTAACTCATAAACGTTGCGTGCGAGCGACGCAACAAGCTGTCTACAGAGCCCTGGAGAGTTCAATCTTGTACAAATGACCTCGGGAGTTGGTGAAGCGCATCTGATCCGAAGAATCACCGCTAGAGGTAGGTGTGCTCGATGTACACATACGTTTTCACCGAATAACAATGTCTAGATGTGTATGACGTTGATGATACAGAGATGGGAGCCAAGCAATGCTCTTTACCCGGCTGGCAAGATACTGGATTGCCAAGCGCAGGAGTCTACGCTCGTGTTGGTGTCGCAATCTTACATATAATTTGATAACGCTGAACATCTAGCCATCCTCGACCTTTCTTGTTTATCCTTTCCCACTGTGACTTCTACTGGTTAAGCCCGTCGGCTATCAGATCACAATGGGCCTCGGTCTCCGATATCAATCGATTTTGCTGCGCCTCCTTGGCGCATCTGGTGTGCTTCAAGCATCGGATACGCCGTCAACAGTACAGTTCGACCTCGTTTTTCCCGGGAATTACTCGCTGAACGAACCCTACTATCCGTCGCCTGTCATCTTCGCGTTACACAACTTTTCCGCGATCGGCCAGAACACTATCTTCTGGAGCTGGAACATCACTGATGCGCTTGACACGGGACATGAACCATCTACCATCGTTGCCTCCGGCAGAAGTCGACCCGACACTATCGAGGTGGAGATCTCTCCTGATATTCTGCTGATAGTTGAGCCCGTTTCTCAATTAAGAAATAACACTATGGATCTTCTTCGTCTGAGCTACACCTTCGGTCTGACTTACGCCTGTAGCAATACAACCGGACTTCCGACGGGTGATTCGAAGATCACCGTGCAATTTGACGGAGAGAGCTTCTTTGCGCTGTTGCCAATCCACCCAGACGAAGACTATGGCCCGATAGAGCTCGCGAGAAAGGGACGCTGCGCCAGGCCGATCGGGTCTTTCGGAGTTCAAGAGCGACCCGAAAGCAATTCGGACCAAGCGTGTCAGGTTCTCAATCCTGGTATACAGCCCACGAAAGCATGTGCGCTGCCCATCAACGCGCGTGTCACGGAACAGGCTGCGGCTATAATGAGCGGAGCAGCTTCCTGTCCCAATCAGACTTGGCCGGACACTACCGGGCTTATGGGTAATTGCATATCTCGAGGATCTGGAAATGATGATCTGAGGGCTGGTGGCGCGTTTCTCTTCGTATCTGCAGCTTTTCTTTTGATTGGTATCTACTAGGCCCATCGCGCTTCCTTGTGGAGTAACACGTCTACTGTCAAACGCATTGAGTTTTGCCACCGTTACTGAATCTGCATTATCTCAGTCGCAGATACGACAAGGTACCAAAGGCTCAATTCTGCTACTTTCTATTAGTCTGAAAGCAGGCTCAGTCTACGCATGGGAGTGGCCGGACAGTTTATCGTATTGCTTCAATCTGCAGACGACCTTCCCCATTTTGACTACATGTACGCCACTGTTGTACAGACTGTCTTCCACCATACCAGTAATCTAAAGCCAACTCGCTTGTCTAGTGATGGGCACTTCATTTGACGTCGTCGTGTATGCACCGACAAACATTCTGTGGTAATTGCAGAACTGTGCCATGCGCTTACGAAAGAAGAGAACTAACGCTTGCGTATATGCCCTGTCGCCTCTCAAATACATTATGAATGAAGTACGTTTGCAAAAAGTCGGGAACAACTTGAAGCATCCCATCGGCAAAATGCTCTTCCGATCCTACTTCTTAACCTTCGCGGCTATTGCTTGCGCGCGCAACACATGGATCAATCCCCGAGGTCCAACACCAGTCGGTATCGTTGATCCGGGTGCGCACCCAGCGTGTACGTACTGGCACGACAACCTGGACAACAGCCTTCCGTGTGGCATTCTCACGTATTTTTACCTTATCACACCTGCTCAACTGTTCGCGTGGGTAAGTGCCAATATATGCGCTGGGATTATTTGACTTGGAAAAACTTACAAGATGACAGAATCCATCTCTGACCAGTGAGTGCGGGAACTACTTGGTTGGCCATAGCTACTGCGTTGATGTTGCTGTCGGGCCCAGTTCTTCTACGAGAACTTCATCGACAAAGATATCTTCGACTTCCTCAAGCTCCAAATCGTCTTCTACGCCAATCTCTAGTCCTTCCACAACGCTGCCAACTACCGCAACTTCACCCACACCTTCGCCTACACCACCGATGACTACGTTATCAACAACATCTCGTGCACCTTCTTCGACATCCTCTTGGAATGGTATCGCTACAGTACGTTACATGTTCACTCTCAACATACACGCGTGCTGACAAGAACTACTTCCAGCCTCTTCCAACGCAGCCAGGCATGGTCGACAACTGCGACGACTTCTACCTCGTGCAGGCTGGCGAGACATGCGACGGCATTCTCTCGAAAAAAGGCATCACACTAGCGCAGTTCACCACCTGGAACAAGGAAGTGGGGTCAGACTGCACCGGAATGTGGGCCGACGTATACGTCTGCACATCAATCATCGGCCATACACCTACGCCCGCCAACCCCGGCAATGGCATCTCCACGCCGTCACCAATCCAACCAGGCATGGTGGACAACTGTGATGCATTCTATTTCGTCCAAGCTGGCGACACCTGTGCAGCCATTACTTCTAAGTTCAGCATAACCGTCGCCCAATTCACAACCTGGAATACAGGAGCTGGGCCATCTTGTTCGGGTCTATGGGCAAACGTCAATGCTTGTGTATCAATTGTTGGTCACAATCCCACGCCTGCGAACCCTGGAAACGGTGTTCAGACACCAAGCCCAATCCAGAATGGGATGACGAACAGTTGCAAAAGGTTTCATTTGGTCAAGAGCGGTGATACGTGCGCTACTATTGCGAAGCAGTATAGTATTAGCACTAACAGTTTCTTGGCCTGGAATCCTGCGGCGGGAAGTAATTGTCAAGGACTTTGGGCCAATACATACGCTTGTGTTGGGGTTCTATGAGAGCTAGTGGTAGAGGCGTATGAACAGCCGCGCTTAACGTAGACGAACTTAGCATACTGTGGGTGTAAGTGATGGAGGTTCCGATGTAAATTGAACGTGTCATTTACGCTCTCATATGCGACTAGCTGCGCACTACCTTACTGCTACACATCCGGTACTGCCCTGAATGTTCTCTTGTAACGGCCAGCATGTGGTAGCTGTAGACCCGACCAAAAGCTCAACACATGACACCGGTCGTTTTTGGTGGGGTTATGAGTGTAGTGAAGCACGTGATGTGTGAGCCCGGACGGCCGCTAGTAGGTGATATGGATTTGAGTTTGTAAGAATGTATTGATGATGGGGTATCGAGCAACTGATATATACAAGAAGAGGTGAAGTCTATGAAATGACGTGATGTGAAAAAGAATTCAAGACCCTCTTCGGGGTAAGATGAACACCTGCCACCGAACCTCAAAGTCTACATTGCCTTCGTGATGTCATGAACTTTCTTTTTAATACCAATGTAGGCTGCGGGGCAACTCTTTGGTTTCATCATTGAAAGTGGTGGTACTGAACGCTGCTTAGTGACCGCTCTAATTTTGCTGCCCTAGATCGTCGCCAAGCGGTGGAGACCATAGAAATAGATCCAAGAATGAGATATTATCCTCTTGACTGTGGACGAAGCTTTCATCAGACCTCGGAAGATTCTGGTGATGATACCCGGAAGATGATCCTTGCGCAGACGGAATGTCCTGATGTGTGTTGTAAGGTGATGCTGCGGAGTGTGGCGATATTGAATAGAAGGAGAAAGGCGACGCTAGAGGGCTGTGATGGGGTTGATCCGCTGCACCGTGGATGGAGGTAGGTCCGGTGTATAGGTGTGTTGAAGGAAAGTACGATGAAGAGGCGGTGTCGAACGGTTGGATGCTCGGTAGGGTTTTCAGATCCGTCGACCCAAGATTGCCGCTTACATTTGCTGGCGAAAGTGGGTGCCCGAAACCATGGGCAGGGCGAAGAGGATACAAATGCTGAGGCGATGGCCAGCCTTCCTGTCGGACGGCATTGTATGGCGCAAGATTCTGTTGGCCGAACTGGAAGGGCCACACATCTTGGTGGAGTGGTGCCGCTTCTACGGCTTGCTGCAGATCATTATGAAGTTCCTGAAAGGCTTGGTCCTCGCCTGCTGCAGGATCGTACGATTGGGATGGTATCG